TGGAGGGCAGGGCCCTCTCAACACAATTATAGCCAACAGCTGTGGTTGTAAGCTTGAACCTATGGTCCAAACACGTAGCCCCACGTGCCTTGTGATAGAGTTCGGGTGCATGTAGTTGAGTGAGGTTGAAACTCACGAGAATGCTGTAAACAACGTGATCACGCCCCTACTTTGCCTCGTGGCATCTGCTATAAAATAAAGACACGGCTTGTGGGTGCTGTCGTTGTCTCCTCATCAGGGAGGCAGCGTCCCACCGAGACCCAGCTATTATTCTCTTGTCTGTCTTTCCTTAATCCTTTCACCCCCCCACTTGGGATCACCCTTGGTCGTGCTGGTGTGGTACAAATGGCGCCCGAACAGGGACTGAGTTCTGGGACCAGGGCCTGAGTCCGAGCAAGCCCTTTGGCCGTAACACTGCCCCCCTCGAATCTATGTCACAGGTTGTGACATTTCACCTGGTGACTTCTAGGGCTGGATCATGAGAAGCCTGGCAGCTTCCACTCAGGCCTCTTGGAGCCCTTGCTCTGGTGCAGCGGCTGCCAGGTGGGAAGTCTGACCACCCTGAGACCGTCATATGAAAAAGGCCCCACGTTGGTGCTGGGAATGACAGTCCCAGCGAGGCCCAGCCTTCCGGCCATGCCAAGCGGCCAGATACCCGCGATGCCATCCTGGACTCCCTAGTCCAGCCCACCCACCAGCTGAACACCCGCAAGTAATCTTGGATGGCGTCATCTCCATCAACGCCAGGTAGAGCAGAACAGTCACCCAGCTAAGCCCCGCCCAATTCCTAACAAACAAAATCTCAAAATACAATAAAATGGTTCTTGTTTTTAAGCCACTAAGTTTTGGGGGTAGTTTGTCACACAACATAGCAACCAGAACAGACATCGTCTGAAGAGAGAGCCAAGACAGAGCTATTTAGAGGTAGGGTGGGAGGAGGACCCTGCGAAGGAGACTGAGAAGGGGCACTGGGTGAGGTAGGAGGAGCCCCAGGAGGGGTGGACCTCCCTCCGAAGGCAGAAGGGGAGAGAAGCTATGAGGGAGCGGGAGGAGGGAGGGTGGAGAGAGAGAGGAGTCCAATCAGAGTGAGTTAGAGAAAGGCGGAGAGGTAAAGAAGTGGAAGCAGGGACAACAGAAAACTTTCAGAGATTTTTGTGGGGAAGGGGAGCAAAGAAACAAGATAATAGTTGGAAGGGGACACGGGGACAGGGGAGGGATGTTGTTACCTAGAGGCTGGGAGCTATTAGAGCTCATTTGCCTGCTAATGGAACAGAGCAAGTAGGAGGGGGGGTCCCCCTGAGCCGGAGAGCTGCCTACATTACAGGGGCTGCCCAAGAACTGCCCTCGAAGAAGCTCAAAGATCCCTTTTCAGATATCGATGGCAGCCATTCACTGTGCCTACTGTGTGCAGGCCTAGTCCTTGGGGTCCTTTAATTCTCAGCTCCATTCTGAAGCAGGAGTCCTCACTTTATAGTTGAAAAAAAACAACAACTCAGGGATCATGGAAAGATCCACCCAAGGACACAAGGCCAGGAAAAGACAGGGCGAGATTGAACTTGTGTCTCTGACTCGGAGGGGGATGCCAGATGGAGGGAAACCCAGTCACCAGCCCGGGGACTTCTGAGACAGAGCCTGGCACTCTGGAGACCCTCCATGGTTGCCTCCCAGCGTCCCTGACTCCCAGGTGGTATGGAGAAAAACTGGAAGGAGTGGTCTCTGACCTGTCCATCCCCCCTGGGCAGCACCCCCACATCGTCATCCCACCGCAGGCTAGCCACAGGCGGAGCAGGCTCAGAAGTGCCTCCCAGCCTCCTACCTGCCTAGCTGAGATCAGGTTTGTGCAGCGGGACACACCTGAGCCTGGCTGCCGGAAGCTCTCTATCTTCAGAAGCCAGGTGTGGCCTGTGGGGCCGGTACACTCAGTCTCAGGCGGCCCTCGGGGTGCGGTGGAGGGAGCAGGGAAGCAATTCTGTGCTTGTCCCCTCCCCATTTTCTTGGGGGGGGGAATCCCTTCCCTTGACCTAAAGTCATTTAATCCTCAGCCACTTCTCCCCCACCCTTCCCCACGCACCCCACTGCTCTCAAGGCCTGTCGGCACACCATTTAATCTCATAAAACTCATCTCTGTGTAACTGCCAGCATGGAATAGACCTGCTTGGCACTAAACAGGCTCAAATGACAAGGACCATTATTAGCCCCGAGTGCCCAAGTTACAGGATAGTTGGTGGGCTGGGAAAGGCTGGGAAAGGCTGGGAAAGGCGTGCTGCTACTCACTAATCAAGACTCACTAATCCAGCAGGAGTCTTCTGACTCCAGACCACCCATCTGTGCCTCCCACCGCTCACAGGGGTAGAGAAGGAGAGAAGCAGGTCTCTCCACACCCTCCCTCCCCAAGGAATCAAGGAAATTGAGACCCACCTGGTGGAGCTCAGCCTGGAGTGTGCTGGCACCTGAGGCTACTCTAGGAAGGCTCCAGGGCCGCTCCCTTCCGACCTCTAATCAGTTTCAGGCCAGGGAGCAGGGCCACACCCCCAGGGGCGGATCACAGCCTGTTCTAGAGGTCACAAGTAGGGCAAGGCCAAGGAGTGGGGAGATCTGGGGTTCGGCAGTGCCACCCACAGTGAGCAACAGGTTCCCTGCTTGGAGAAGACTCCCCCTGCCCTGAGGGCACACTCACCCCAGAGGGCAAGGGGCGGACCCCTGAGCCCCCGCCTGTGGATGCCTCACCCCTGCATCCCATCCTGAGTGCCGGCCCCAGGGCAGGAGCAAGCAGACCAGGTAAAGCGTGTACACCTGCTTCCTATGCTGTAAAGTGGTGCCCCAATGAGGAGACAGGAAGCTCCTTGAGGACAGGGGGCAAGTCCCATGTCTCTGCGGAGTCCCAATGTCTCGTTACAATTTCCCAGCTTTACTGCGATGTAGTTGACAAATAAAAATTATACGTATTATTTAGGTTGCACAATGTGATGTTTTAATATACATCAGCGCTTCTCAACCTGTGGGTCGCGACCCCTTTGGGGGGCGAACGACCCTTTCACAGGGGTCGCCTAAGACCATCGGAAAACACATATATAATTACATATTGTTTTTGTGATTCATCCTATGCTTTAAATTATGTTCAATTTGTAACAATGAAAATACATCCTGCATATCAGATATTTACATTATGATTCATAACAGTAGCAAAATTACAGTTATGAAGTAGCAACAAAAATAATTTTATGGTTGGGGGTCACCACAACATGAGGAACTGTATTAAAGGGTCGAGGCATTAGGAAGGTTGAGAACCACTGATATACATATACATTGTGAAATGATTACCACAATCAAAAGGTGCTTAAATCTAACATGAACTAGTTAAGGTCTGATTTGCTGAGGGCAAATTATTACTATTCCAGAAGCCCAGGCGGGATATACGTATCACATGGCTGAGGGGTCACTGCCAAATTCTCTCCCCGGGCAGCTGTCTCTCCTCCAGGGAGCCCGGCCTGTCCCCGAGGCTCTGAGGGGCCACCTCTGGGCCTCCCCTGTCCCAGCCTGGCCACACTGTGCTGTCGTCATCAGTCTGTTCCTCTCTGTCTCCCCGTGGAAAGATCCATGGGGGCCCCTGAGGACAGGTCCAGTCTGACTCATCCCTGCGTCCCCAAAGCACCAGACTCCGGTTCTTTCCATCGCTGCCCTGGTGCCACCTCCCACCCGCGAGGAGCACACAGGCCCACAGCCAGGGAGCTT